ACCGAAGGCGGCTGCATTGAGGCGGCCAAAGGTTCACTTTAGGCCGTAAGGTATTGCGCAAGGGGGAAACGACGTGAATAATTAAGCGCTGGTGGAGTACAAATTTGGAAGAAAATAAAGAAAAATCATAACTCGACTTTGTTTCGCTGTCAATTATAAAAGAGCGAAGAACTAAAAATGTGGACGAATAAAATAATACATTTTAATAAAAACTAACTATCTCAGACGTTCTGAGCCATCACAAGCCCTGTTTTAAATTTTCTTCATGGTATCTCGAATAATTAGAAGTTATTTTCAAGTGGCTTCTTATTTGTTGGTATTTTAGCCAATGCACATTTTTGTCTGCAAAGATTCTACACTCAACGGTTTGAATGTTCCTCGGTCATGCCCTCGAATCTATGAGTATAGATAGTACTGTAGCTCTCACACCAATGGATAAAAAAAATGAATAAATCAATATGACCACAACCTCTATACTAACGAGGAGAATGGCATTGTCGACGACAAATCAATCTAAAATACGGCATAATTGTTCATGTTTGTGACCGGTACGAAAACCACGCGAAGGGTGTGAAATTTCAAAAGGCACGAAATAATTATCCGTTAGCACCGGACACTTGTAAATTGACATGCTCATCAAATTGAACGATTTTCGCCCGCGCGTTCGGCGGGGTGGATAAAGTCGTGTTTCGGACACGCTGAATAATATGTTCGTGACGACTCGAGCTAGCATTCAAATGTCAAAATGACGGCAGAAAATTCATTTAAAACGAATTTTTCGATTTTTTCGTCGCAGCTCCTCCGCCCCCGTCCCACCGTACTGGGTAAGGTTCCCTTTGGGTTTTTTTTTTTTTTTTTTTTTTTTTTTTTAAATAATAGAGCGACGGATAGGTCAACACGGTGACCGTCATCAGGACGAAATTTCTGCAACGCTCACGGGAAATCCCACTGCATTCGCCGCGCGAACCTCAAATGGATAGCTATTTCTGCACCGAGGATTTCCTCTGGCCCACCTCGGAAATCCAAAGCGAAGCAGCAAAAACGTAACCTTCTCAACCCCTATTATTTGCCATTCTATTTCCTCTGAATTCCCAGTAAAAAAGCTCCTTTGTTCGAACAAGGCTTAAAAAAAAATCGCGAGGATGCAAGAAGCATCCACCGCGCATCGCAGTGGCAAGCTCAGCTTTGCGAGGTATCAATTGTTCCGCCATTTAAACCTAAAGGAAAGGATCGATTATCAAGGTGCACGTCAATTACCGATTCTTCACCATAGCTTCAGATGGGACGATCGGTGGTCGATTATTCACGTCGCCCCCGCTGGAGCTGTCGTGAATTAGCGTATCCGGTTGAGACCTGCATAAAAAGTTCGCTTCATCCATATTTTAGTGAAGGTGCCAGGCTGCTCGACCGCAAGCCGTCCCTCACAATGCTCCGCCCTGTCAGTCCCGCCCACGACCCTCGTCCCTTCCCCGGGAACGGAAAAACAATCAATTTAATTCGCGTGCTCCATGCTCTGTCATGTCTTCTGCACTTTTATCAGACCCAGTCTCCGCTTATCATTGTCCGGCCCGTAAAGTTTATCAGACCGCCGACTCTGTTGCAGAGCTGGTAGCATCACACACGGTTGTCGAATCGCGGATGCATTCGACCGATTTATCGGCTGTCTCACTCAAGAGTACGGGCATGTCGAAGTATAGGCAAATTTTCGCGAGTGGATTTGGTCGAAGTTTTTAACTTACTGCAAACGTCCGTTACAACAAAACGAAATTCCCTACGGACGACGGCGCGCTTACAACATCTGGTTTTGATGTTGACAGCAATATCGACCACATCCAAAATTTGCGACCCACCTCCCGAGTAGAGTACCTATATTAAGAGAGTATGGCCACTGGGCCCCATGGAGAGGCTTAGGACCCAAAAATGGCGGTGCTTTGTTTTGGTTTTTGTGGATGGGAGGGGGGTCATTGCCAACTTTTGACGGTTACCACCAACCGTACTTGCTGCCAACCTTACTACATTCAAGATAATTTTTCTCAAAAATTGCACACGATTAGTCTTAAAAATATGTAAAGAAGTCGCAAGAGTGCATTTTAGTAAATTTCTCGTTACGATAAGCAAAGAAAACTACATTACGAGTCATTTTGCATTACATTAATTTATGGCGTCCGCCATTTTTGGGTCCTAAGGGCTCCATTCAGCCTGAGATGGCTGAGCCAATCAGAGGTGGTAACCCCAGTGGCCATACTCTCTCAATATAGGTACTCTACTCCCGGGTTGGGTTGAAAAGTGGATGGATGCAAACGTTGGCCGAAATTCATCGAGCAGCTGAGTTAAGTTCTTGACCGCAGCAGAGCGTTTTTCTTCTTTGGTTTGCAATCCTGGCGATTTGGTTGAAACAGTCGACAAATCCACTCGCAAAAATTTGCCTTATGTAGATCTTAGAGCCCAAAAGGGCCGCCAACCTCCTGACACGAAATACACTAGAAAAATGTCACTGCCTCGACTGTGACTTCGGTCGGGTAAATGCCCTGTGGAGGTTTATACATATAAATCCTCGAGTACGGATAGGCACGCACTCAATATTTACCGAGTATTTATCAGATATTCACCCCGGAATTTTCATCATGTATACTTGGAGTGTCATTGTTAGGCAATAAAAATGAGTAAACATCCAATACCTCCTAATTATTATTTGGATTGAAATTATTTTACTGATAAGTATTGAAAATGTATACAATTCCTCAAAAATACGTTAGTCACTGGACTAGAGTTGAAAGTTTTAATTTTGATGTTTACACACGAGAGGTAAAAAACTACTTTTTGCCCTAATTGTATCCATGTTGCCATTACGCTTTCTGCCCTGTTCAATCTAAAAGTGTGAGAGATTCAGCCTTTGATGATTTCGCGTGTATTCTGGGTATAAAGGTTGACTTTCAGATTTGAATATTCAAAGACACGCATTAGCGCACTTAGGGCTAAATTAATAGGTATTTGAGTTGAATAATTTAGAGATAGCTAATGCGGATCAAATGTGTTCAATTGATGTTGGTGCTTTCACGTCTAAAACGTAACCTTAGTAAGTGCGGAACGTCATGGACGAAAAAATGATAACCAAACAGTGTGCGACTTTTCCATCACATTACAGACTACGATGTTCAGCAATCAAAAAGATAGTTTTTCAATTTCTGATTTAACTGCTTGCACTGAATAATAAATATATGAATTTAAAATTTTTTTATATTATTGGTATTCTATCTTTTAACATTTCGACAAATTGTATAAAAAATTTAAAAAATTGATACCATGCGTATATACGGAGAAGAAATATCGAATAAATACCCGAGAGAAACTATAACTTCCAAGAGCTGAGAACAAAGTCACACCAATCTTTTAATGTGAAAAACTCGCAGTAAATCGTTTAAAACTCTGAGGTACAATTAAATTTAAGATTAAATCGGAAGAAATAAGTTGTGAGTAATTGAAACACCATGCGAATTACTATTGTGAAAATTATCTAGTGAGTATCCTCAATAGAGACATCTTGAGGGTGAGACCGTGTATCGTACTCATTAGCGTAATTAATGTGATCATACGGAAACAGGCTTAAATAATTTTAGTTGCTCTGTAGAATATCAGCGCCTCCAAAAACGGTTCAGATCTCCAGATGTATTTTACAGTAGTGAAAGTTCAATAAGAGATTGATGGTGGAAGCGATTCAATTTCGCGTAATTGAGCCCGTGGCGCCAGTTCAACTACCGACAACAGATATCAATGATTTGCACACACCAACGCCAATATCAACTGTTGGCCTCGCGCCTCAATGTTTTCAATGCTCCCGAATCAAAATGTGTTGTGTTGCCTTTTTCGTACATTATTAAGGGGTACTAACGATGAGACATTAAACGCTGAGCTCCGACGTTAGTTTTTAAAGCATGCTTTCAAAAAATATTTCAGGATCATGTCATTGGAAAGTAACTCGTGAGTCTTTTGGCAAATTATTTAACTTTTGAATTGGGTGGCATGGTTTTTTTAACAGAATTACTTTTTCCCTGCTGAGGCATCGATCAGTTTTTCTTTTTGTAATGACTTGTCTTACTGGCTTACAATCTTATTAATAACTCGTCTTGTGAGCTATTTGAATAATTTTTGAGAAATCAAAAATATTCAATGCTCTAGAACTATCTAATTCCTAGAATCCAAATGAATCCCACGTGAAACCAGAAGATACTATAACTAAAACTATACTATACTATAATACTAAAACTACTAAAACTAAAAATCTAAGGCAAATAAGGTTCCTACATTCTAAATTCTCAATGCGTAAACCATTTTTTTTTTTTTTTTCGTTAAAAGAAAAAACATGTTGAAAATTCTTTAGTGAATGATTTGGCAAACTTCCCGGAAAGAAAATTATGAAACCTCCCTCTTTTTTCTCTCAAACACAACTTCCCAAAGATTACATAAAACCATCGAGTTCACCGTTTTACAAACAATGCGCACAAGAAAGTAACTCGGTCAGTTCAAAGTTATCCAAATCGATTGCCTAGCTTTTTGAGATAAGAATAGAACGAAAAATATTATGTTTGTGCATGTATTGAGCTGAGGAGATGACACATGACTAATATATTTGTAAATAAAAAAGGCAAACTAGTATGTAATGAGCTTTAGTGTAGCCTGGCGACATGAATATTTATTTCCAACGATGTGAACAACAAGGGATATTTTAAATCCGAGAAAAATTCTATTACGAATAAGGTAAGATATTTATATAATGCTTTTAAACATGAAAAAATCTGCATAATAAGGAAGACATACTGTAGAAATATCACGGGTAAAAAATTATTATGTAAAGAACCCTTTTAATCAATTATTTTTTTACTGCCAAATAACAGGGAACGTACCCCAGAAGAGAAATTGAAATAAATTATGAAAGGAAATCAGCATTTGAGTCCAAGTTTCACTCATCATAACGAGTGTCAATCAAAATGTTTGCTACTTACCGTTTGGGAAGACGATTTGCATCCTGCGTATTTTTTCTAGGCATGTGTTCCGTAAATTCAGGTACCAGTTTTCCATGTCCAAAGCTGTCGAACTATTGGCTGCATTCATTTTTCCGAACCTAAAATAAGAAACCAGACGTATTATTTTCCTGCTCAATCCAATGTTGATAACATCATCCACTCTCGTTAGCGTTGATCGAGAGATACTTTTATCAATGAAGTTCATATTAATTAAGAGATATTGTAAGGATGTACACGAAGTGAGAATAATTAAAACTTAATTTTTTATTTATTCTCGAATAGTAAATACATGAGTAGCTGAATGATAAAAGTTTCAAATTGAGAACTATTAATATATCAATCCTTAAACGAAACGGACTTTTTATTATTTTGAAATACACGATATTCAATAGGATAAGATTTATAAAATCAATAAATGAAAAAAAAAAAACACTAAGAAGTGGCCTGAGCTGTATGTAACATGGTGGAAAAATGGTGCTGGGTCCACACCATTTCGCGGGAAAACAAAGCCAAGAAACTCCAAAAATAAAAATTAGAGTCAAAAATACATTTTTTGAACTCTAATGCGCACCAGTACGAAACTGAGGGGGGAGAGTGTTCAGCTCAGGCAGTTTGCATTGGAATATTAAGTTGGAGTTACGCCGAGAGATCTATACCGGTTTAGGCCTTATTAGACCTCATCAGCAGATCACTCTCGGCAGTGAACCCAACTTAAGATGCCGCAAAATCAATAAAGATAATTCTAAATCTCGGATAACATTTTTTCCGTGTCCTGATTTAAAGAAAATTCTGCATATACTGAGCGCAGTTCATCCCTGATTCTTGCCAATGGTCCATCAGTGATATTCGGCACCGCAAGCCGATGCGGATGCATCTCCTCTTCTTTCGAATCGAAACAGGGGGAAAACATTCAATAATACTTTCTAATAATAAAATATGCTAGGAGAGACATCTACTACATATATTACAAGAGGAAAATATTGCAAAAAGTATGAGGTTGTAAACACATGACAGATGAATTCCGGATGCAGTATCATACCGAAATGTCATGTGTGGCGGATCGATCTTAATGTCACCCAGGGGGGCGCAACTTCGCCCGCACCGACGACTTTCAAACTTCGAGCTTTTCTTGGAACTCGAGATTATTCAAACGCATCTCCGAGGGAACTCCATAATCAGTATCTCATATTGGAGCCACTGTAAGCAGAGATGATGCGACCTACGGTGGTACTTAGAATTCCCACCCTCATTTCATTTTCATATTTTGCTTTGCTTCCTCGAATCCCTTTTTTCACGTCGAGAATCCTCCCCCAATATTATTTCAAAAGCTCATCCCGTACTCTTTTTGAGGACAGGATTCAGTCTAGGGGCTGTCAAGCGCGCAAACAAATTAAGACAGATTTGATGAGCTTTTTTCTCTCTCTCCCGCGGAAAATATCCGTAATTTCATTCCTCAACGGGAACCCCGCTGAAATTTTCTTAGTACACGGAAAAAAATGATATTCCTAACTTAACAATTTTGTAGTTTAAAAAAAGTGTCCGACATGTTTCAATGTACATTTTACAATAAAAAATGGTTCCCGTGGTTAAATTAGCTTCCCACTGTTGTAGAGTGTACGTTTGAAACGCGTCGGACATATTTTTAAACAATTTAATTGTTGAATCAGCAATCCAATTTTTCTCGTGTATTGAGAGATGTGAAAACGATAGGTACATTCACAGACATTTTGAAACGGTGAAATTGATATAACTGCACCACCGCTGCTCTCAGGTGGCTGATGGGTAGATTACCCCGCAAGAATAATTATGTAAAGCACTTTGAAAACTTTACAGAACGTTGCGTCTAGCACATAAGAAGATTCCACTCATGACATATATTGTAGATCAGTACAGTCTAGAATGCAGTTCATGGACAAAGCGACTTCTTTAAATTACAAGCGTTCCTTTGAGAGCAAGGGAGGACTAGGAAAAGACGACAACAGAATAGCTCCTAGCACATTCCAGGCTAAACTAACATTCTGTCTCGTTGTCTCCGGTCGTGGGTCTAGTTTTATTTCCCGTTTTCCTTTCCGTTTCTCCGTCTCAGTCTCCCTTCTCCAGCCCTTGTTCCTCGGGGGTTGGTGTTGAAGATTCATTGAAATTCACTCGCCACGAAGCCAGACGGTCCGGGTGTGATGAAAGAGGTGGTAATTGTTGCGACAAAACTTTGCCGTCATTGCCTGTCAAGCTCCTCGGACAAATAAATTAATTTTTGCTTCCTCGGATCCCGAAGAAATTGAATGGCTTTGAGACTGAAAAGCTCTATTTAACAGCTGTGTTCCTTTCCTACGTAATGAACTTATATGATTTCTTATTGATTTCAAACTTCGGTCGGGCGGAAAAAAACTGCTAAAGCAAGCTTTTATGGCTATTATTGAATACTTAATAATTAATCGTCGTGAAACTTAACACCGTCCTAAGGACGAGAGCCGCCTTAAAATAGTGAAGTATCTTCAGAACTTTCGGATAACATAAAAAGCAAAAAATAGTGTACCGATTCGGCAACCTTTGATGCGACCTCGAGCCTAAGGTAGAAAACGGAGAGCAATAATAGCTGCAATAAAGATAACTCACGAACAAAATATTTTTGCTCCGGGAAAATTAATTCTCCGGTGCTTGTGTTGTGTTCTGTGTCTGGTCGGTTTTAAGTTTTGAAAGTAAACTACTCCATGATTCATTGAGCAAGGGGACGTCGCAAATTTTGTGGAGTCATTGTGAGATCATTTGTTTTTGTAAACACATATATTAGTTCCTCAGGCTTCGATAAATTACTTTTCCCTTTGTGTGATAAAACTTCAATTACTTAGTCATGACCGTAGATTTTGCAAAGAAGCAACGCTTTGAGCAAATTTCACCGTCAAAGAAATTTTCCTCGTAGGTTTCAATTGCGCCATGAATTAATTCCGAAATTTGTCCATTCCAAAAAAAAAATGTTTTAATTTCAGTTTTGATGTCATTTAAACTATGGTCTGCGTCACACTTTTAGAGATATTGGAGTCAATTCCGGAGATTAAACACGGTCTAAATTGTAGTTCGTATGGAACAGTAAAATTTATGGTCCAAGTAACTGAAGTTTTCAATTAAAAGAACTAAACTTCGGTTAAGATAATTGAAGTTTATAGTAAAGTATATATGCGTCAGCATATGACTTACGATAAACTTTTTTTACCTAAATTTCAGCTACAATGACCGAAAACTCCAGTTACCTGGTCTGGAAACGTTAACTTTGCATACTGCCGTGCTATGGATGAACCTTTAAATACAGCCAAATTTTCTCATTTAAAATACGAATTTTCCGAAATTTTTTTAAATATTTGTCCTTAAATTTTTCAGAGAAATTTATCTGCAATCGGATCTGAATTATCTGAAAATTTCAAAAGAACATGTTCACAACTCTACTTAAAATCAAACACTCTATAGAAGGGAAGTTCGCCATTGTCGAATGTTCATACATGCAGCGTTTTTCTTTGGCACGATATCATAAATATGAATCTAATTTTCGTTCTCCGTTCATTTTGTTTATAGTATTTTCGTCAACTTTTGTAATTTTAGTTACCTACACCGCAGCTCAGTTTTTATGATAAAACGCATTCAGTTACTCGGACCGAGAACTTTGGCGCGCGTACATCCTAGCAGGGCAATGCGGAGCTGCAGGGGACAAGAGATAACTATTCGCGCATGACGGTCATAAAGTTGCATACCCGCTGGAAATGAAGGCTGATCCCCAATCAGAAGCAAATCCTTACCCGTTGTCTGCAAATGAACCAAATTATTTTTCTTCAAGCGTGAGTGCGACCTGTTTCTGGTGCCCGCGTCCGCGTGGTGTTTCTTGCGCCTTCAAAGTGCTCCTATCATAACATATGATCATTTCTTTACTACCTATCATTTCTATACTTTATCGTGCATAGGTTCTTGAACAAAACTTTCAATATAGATATGGTTGGTTTATTGACGTTATCCATATTTTTCATCCTGATAATTCTAAACGGGTCTGTTGTACGTAGGAGATACGGCAAACTGAATAGACTTGCTGCAAGTAAAATCGCTCAAAAATCACGTTAGTCACCTCAAAAAAGTCTTAATCGTAACCCTCAGAGCGCGATCTGTGTAGTTTGTAACACGCATTTACAAATTTACCGCGTCTCCGGGCAGTTTTTCATAATGGCCCGACAGTCAGGTTTGTTGAAAGCAAATTTTGAATTTTGAATTTTTTTTAATTGAATTCAGTTTCTGGTATTTGTTTCTATCTTGTTTCTTCGTTTTCCCATAGCAAATGCTTTAAATCGATTGAAATCTTAAGGGAAGTCTACCAGACCGCGAGACTGTTTGTTTATGTAGGTTAAGTTTGCTCGAGTTTTCCTCCGAGTAAATCTGCGTGTCTACCACTATGGAATACTGCCCGTAAGTAGTAAATTTGAAAAAAGCATGTTAAAAACTACGCAGAGTCCGCACTAGGGAGTAATTTCAGATTTTTTGAAGTGCTCAGCGTATTTTTCGTGCGATTTGCCGCGCAGAGAGTCTATTCACTTGGCTGTATCTCCAGACAAGCAACAGACCCATTCTTTGCCTTATCGCATCGAAGAGAGACGTCCTGGACGGCTCATGATGGTTGGAGCATTGGGCGACATCTAATAAATAGACGCTTACCGGACGTTACTCATGAGCTTGAACATTAGAACGCGGACGAGCACACGTATGACCGCCTCAAAGCCCCAAATTACACGATAAAGTCCACGCTCTATTTTCACACGTGCATTAGCAATAATGGACTCGGCAGGCACAGTGCGCCAGAAACGCACTCTCCCTTAAGCCGGAACCGGCAGGGTTGCACCGCTCACGCCGGAACTCCCCCTCCGCCCCACTCGGAAAGAACCGCGCATCTGCGATGTCTCGCCATTTGATATAAGTTGTTTTTGCATAGCAGGGCAGCCCTCTTGATGGCACGCTGTGGATTTTCCGATTATGAGCCGAATATGGCACACGCTGAGTCAAGAGCTTCCGTCGAATTAAACGTAGTCCCTCATGGGCGCAAATTGCTGCCAGTTTAGGCCAAAATTAC